TTCAAAAACCCCCCCCCCCCCCCCCCCCCCCCCCCCCCCCACATTTCAAGCTGTCAGTACAATCTCACTCTCTTCCATACCACCACCCACCCCCCTCCCCACATAAAGAATAAAATAATGTCTATTATTGTGTTTGTGCTTTGGGGGGGGGGTGTAAGGTTGTGTGCTGTGGCACTAATATGAGTGGGGGGGGTGTTCATAAGGGTGCCAGGTTTGTGGTGGGGGGAGGGGTGTTCATTGAGGATGGGGGGGGGTGCTTTCAGTGTCATGTGTAAAAGAAGTGTGTGGTGTGTTCTATAAGCTGTGAAATCAGGGTGTTCCCACAGTCGAGAAAGTTCTTCTTTCCCCCCAAAAAAAGTTTTTGAGCCATCAGTCTATGAAAACAAGTGAAAGTTAAATTTTTAAAAAGTAAATCAACATTTTTTTGTTTTTGCCCCTATTATATGAGATGAACAGAAATATGGGCTCAATGAATTCCCCTTTTATATGAGATGAAGAGAATAAAACCATGGCTCCATCCCTGCCATCCACCCTTGAATAAAGATATGGCTCTTCCAGCCATCCACCCTTGAATAAAGATATGGCCCTTCCAGCCATCCACCCTTGAATAAAGCTATGGCTCCATTCCAACCATCCACCCTTGAATAAAGCTATGGCTCCATCCCTGCCATCCACCCTTGAATAAAGCTATGGCTCCATTCCAACCATCCACCCTTGAATAAAGCTATGGCTCCGCCAGCCATCCACTCTTGAATAAAGCTATGGCTCCATTCCAACCATCCACCCTTGAATAAAGCTATGGCTCCATTCCAACCATCCACCCTTGAATAAAGCTATGGCTCCATTCCAACCATCCACCCTTGAATAAAGCTATGGCTCCATTCCAGGCATCCACCCTTGAATAAAGATATGGCTCCATTCCAACCATCCACCCTTGAATAAAGCTATGGCTCCATTCCAGCCATCCACCCTTGAATAAAGATATGGCCGCGCCAGCCATCCACCCTTGAATAAAGCTATGGCTCCATTCCAGCCATCCACCCTTGAATAAAGCTATGGTTCCATTCCAGCCATCCACCCTTGAATAAAGCTATGGTTCCATTCCAGCCATCCACCCTTGAATAAAGCTATGGCTCCATTCCAGCCATCCACCCTTGAATAAAGCTATGGCTCCGCCAGCCATCCACCCTTGAATAAAACACTAATTACACAGATTTAGCCCAGTGCAATAAATGTGTTAAAATGTCCAGCCCAGAAAATGGAACAGTTGTGGCTTAATCCATCTCTCTAAATTTCATGTAGGAGGAAAGAAAGGAAGCACTGTATTAAAAAAAGGGGGTGGGGGGGGAGAGAAATGAAGTTGTAAAAAAAAAAATGCAAACTTTGCCAACATCCGTTGTCATGGTAACACTCGGCCAGCTTTCTGCCTGTTACTTCTTTCAGGTGAAAGGGTAATTATTCCTCCCTGGTCTTTTTACCTGGGGATGTATTTTTTTTTTTTTAGTGAACCAAGGCCCAATGGGTATTTAATGCATGGATGTCTAATGGTCCCATTGGTACCAGGTTATATGTGAATGGTCAGTGCTGTTGGTGGGGGGGGGGGGTCAAATTAGGCTGGGGGAAAGTGATGATTGTAGATTTTAGAGCAATGATGGGCTGCTAAAACTTATGCCTGCACTGGCTTTGGGGTTTACTTATGTTGGAAGATGATTGTTGTCTGGAAGAGAGCAAAAAAAAATTAATTAAAAGATCATGACCAGAGGGATCTTAAAAGGCTATCTAAGCTAAACACAGGGTTAGACCAATACAGAGTCAGACACGCTAAACATGGGTTAGACCTATACAGAGTCAGACACGCTAAACATGGGTTAGACCAATACAGAGTCAGACACTACCTTGCTTTTGTCTGCCCCCTCTTTATTACCAGACAATGGCCAAAAAACATTTCTTTTTTTCTAAGATTTGTCTAATTAAAATAGATGTGTTTGGTCAAACTAATGCTAACCTATTCCCCATGTTTGCCATTTTAATGAAGGGGGGGGG